GGGGTTTTTAAGCTTTTTTTTTTATTTTTTCTTAAACAGAAAAAGAGGAGAGTGATGGTACAGATGGTAACGGGGTGAGAAGGCAGCTGTGAAATAAAGCAGAGATGTAGAAGGGAAGGGTTTGAAACAAACAAACTGCTCTACAGAGCAGAAAATTTGGTCCAGCCTGGTGGGGAAAATTGTTGAGTGTCCACCTGCTGATGCCTTAGGTGCATCTTAGCTTGTTTTTTTCCCCTTCAGTGCCTGCATTCTCCTGATGCTGTTTCCTGGCCGTGCAGGAGAAGCACATATGGATGGTACTGATAGCATCGCAGGGATGCTAAGACTTTTAGGCATGAGTAGGCATTGTTACTGCTGGGTAAATCCTTGTCCATCACAATTTACCTGTCTTTTCTCATGAGACAGACGAGTGATATTCTTCAGGTGCTTATCAGTTGTGGGCTTAGCTAGAAGGTAGCAGCTAAGACAGGTATTAGGACCTGATCTGGGTGTTAGCTGAAACTGGGTCACTGACCTGAAGGCTGCTGGGCGGCGAGGCAGCAGTGGGAAGACCAGCAAGGGCTGCACGTGTCGGGTGGGATGTACAGGGGAGCTGGCACAAGGCTTAGCACAGTTGCCTGCATGGATGCATCTTCTGGAGGTGGAAAGAGATGATGGTCTTCCTACATGAATGGGGAAAGAAGCACGTGCAAGGATAAATGTGTTTGGGCATGTTGAGGAGAAAACTGATGTCCTGCCTTCCCGTGCTAATACATATTCTGGGAAGTATGTAGGCTGTGGACTTGCCAACTCAGACCAGTTAGTTAACGTGTTTGAAGATGTCCCTGTTCACTGCAGGGGGGTTGGACCAGATGACCTTGAAAGGTCCCTTCCAACCCAAACCATTCTGTGAAGCTGGGCAATGTTAGGGGAAAGAGGTGTTGTTCATTTTATGAGAGTGGTGCCTAAACCAAGAGGAAAGATCGTTGTCAGCTGTGTTGGTACTCACCTGTTTTCAAGGTGGCCTCTTCCCAGTGACCAGTACCATGTGCAGAGTCTGGTGACCCTTTGGGTAAGGTGGGCAAACTTGCAGCTCTTCTTCAGGGCTTTCTCATTGCCTTTCATTGCAGTATTTGGGTGACTACTGGTAGGGGGCCTACAAGAAAGCTGGGGAGGGACTTTTCATAAGGGCAGTTAGTGACCAAACAAGGGGAAATGGGTTTAAGCTCAAAGAGGGGAGGTTTAGATTAGATATTAGGAAGAAGTTCTTCACTGTGAGAGTGGTGAGACAGTGGAACAGGTTGCCCAAGGAAGTTGTAGATGCCCCCTCCCTGGAAGTGTTGAAGGCCAGGCTGGATGAGGCTTTGAGCAACCTGGTCTAGTGGAAGGTGTCCCTGCTGATGGCAGGGGGGTTGGGACTGGATGAGCTTTAAGGTCCCTTCCAACCCAAACCATTCTGTGATTCTATGATCTAATCATGTAGGTCTAATAAGGTGGATGTGATGAAGGATTATGGCAAGGACGTCACTATTTCCAGAAGGAGAGTGTAGATCAGCTGTAAATAACAGTGTTTGCTCTTCAAGAATCTACATCTTTGCTGTAAGAGAATAAAGCAAATTCCTTTTCAATGTCTTATACACCACATACCAGCCAAAACACTCTTTATACATGGATGGTCAAATACAAATCAAAAGCAACTTCTTTGAAACAAACCTGCTGCAATGCTGCTTCCTGACGCAAACAAAAGTTTATTTTCTGTTGTGGATTAATGTGGTTGCAACGTGTACTTTCTTAATAAAAGCTCCTTGACCACCTTCTGCAAGTATCGCTCAAATAGGAAAAACAAACCTTTTGCCACTGTGCTTATCTCAAGCTGAATGCAGTACCATAATTCTGATTAAGCCAAAAAATCCTTGAACTGCCTTTTCAACTTTTCAGAACCGTGTAATATAAATTTACAGTGTAAAAACAAGACTGCTTATTCAAAACAGGAGGCTTATTCGCAGAAGTTGCTGAGTCTATAAACTACTTCAAAGTAGTTATTTTGTCTTGCAGGATACAGAAAGAAATGGCAAATATGTCAACAGCAGTAAAACTTGATCTTAAGGGTTTGAGGTGACAGTAGTTTTTGCAAACCTAGGTGTTGCCAGCGTGTTTATCCGGTTCAAGTATTGCTTTCTCCAGGTTGCTGAAAATGTGTTAATATTTGAGGAATAGTCTAGACTGCACGTTGCCAAGCAAGAACCCCAGGCTTTAAAAGCGTGCCTCTGTAAGATGAGTTTACTTGAGTCATGAAGGGATGAAGTCGTCTCTGCAGAGAAGCGAGGAAGGAGCCTTGAAATCCCTTCAGGTCAAAGCTGGTGGGTGGCATTGGGCAGAGGACAGTGTGCTGGGGCTGGGGTTTGCCCTGCACAGAGGGGTGCTGAAGCATCGTCCTTCTACGGGGCGGTGGTGTGCGATGTGGTTGTGGGAAGGGGCAAATGTGGTGGAAACCTCTGCTTTAAATTGCATTTAATATAATTTAAAGTGCACCTTCCCCCCC